TTTTATCAATAGGGGCAAATGTTTCAATTAACAGGTGGTAGCAGTATTCAGAACATGAAGTATAAATTCATTTTATTCTTTCTAAGTTCTTGAGGGCAAATCTTTATGGTAAGGTCTGAATCCATTCTTATCTCAGTAGCTACTATGCTAGTGGCATTGTCGCTAGTGAAAACTACTGATTCAGCCTGTAGACCACTGAGAGTGAGTAGTGAAGTAACTGCCTCTTTGGCTAACAGAGCAGAAAAATTATCTTTCTTGGAGGCTGTGAATGGAGAATGAAATTGAGCAAGATGGCACCAAACAATCCACATATAAAACATTGAAGTCATACCCTTTGTATGCCAATTACATACTTGAGCAGGCTTCACTACTTCATAGCAGAGTGGCACATGCTGTATATCTCAGAGCACGTTGACTATAATTGAATGGGACGGGAAGGTGAGCCATGTTGAACTCGGTACAGCTTAATCTGGCTTGGGGAGAATTCAGACAAAGGTGGAATTTCAATATTTTGAACTAAATTGGTATAAACATTATGCAAAATATTAGTGTTAAAAAACCCTTTGAAAATAACATTTGAAGAAGCTTGTAAGTGTAAGGTCATGCATTTAGGGATTAATAAGAAGAATTTTAGTTATAAGCTGGGGGCGCATCAATTGGAAGTAACAGTGGAGGACAAGGACCATAGAGTGTTGCTTGATCACAGGCTATGACTATGAGCCGTCAGTGTGATACAGTAGAGATAAGAAGGTGTTAGTACCGTTATACAAGGCACTGGTGAGACCTCATGTGGAATACTGTGTGCAGTTCTGGTCTCCCGTGTTTAAGAAGGATGAATTCAAACTGGAACAGGCTACTAGGATGATCCAAGGAGTGGAAAACCTGTCTTATGAAAGTAGGCTTTTTTAGCCTAACCAAAAGAAGGCTGAGGGGAAATATGATTGTTCTCTATAATATAAATATTTCAGAGGGATAAATACCAGGGAGGGAGAGGAATTATTTAAGATCAGTACCAATGTGGACACAAGAACAAATGGATATAAACTGGCCATCAGGAAATTTAGACTTGAAATTAGATGAAGGTTTCTAACCATCAGAGGAGTGAAGTTCTGGAACAGCCTTCCAAGGGCAGTGGCGGGAGGGGGGAGGAGGAGGGGCAAAAGACACATCTGGCTTCAAGTCTAAGCTTGATAAGTTTATGGAGCGGATGGTATGATGGGACAGCCTAATTTTGGCAATTAATTGATCTTTGACTATTAACGGTAAATATGCTCAATGGCCTGTGATGGGATGTTAGATGGGTGGGATCTGAGTTACTACAGAGAATTCTTTCCTGGGTATCTGGCTGGTGAGTCTTTCCCATATGCTCAGGGTTTAGCTGATCGCCATATTTGGGGTCAGGAAGGAATTTTCCTCCAGGGTAGATTGGTAGAGACCATGGGTGGCTTCCACCTTCCTCTGCAGCGTGGGGCACGGGTCACTTGCTGGAGGATTCTCTGTGCCTTGAAGTCTTTAAACCATGATTTGAGGACTTCAGTAGCTCAGACATAGGTTAGGGGTTTATTACAGGAGTGGGTGGGTGTGATTCGGTGGCCTGCGTTGTGAAGGAGGTTAGCCTAGATGATCATAATGATCCCTTCTGATCTTAAAGTCTATGACTCTGACACAAAGCATCAAATTCCTAGGAAGCTGTGTTAGATTCCAAGTTGGTGATGACATGTCTATTGCAGTTAAGGAGTCCTAAAACTTCCCGTTCTTATTGGCAAAGGAACTGTGAGCAGTAGGAGTGGTCTTGGCTATGACGGTTGCCAGGGCTCTTACGGTGCCGGATCAACCCCAACAGAACAATGCTATTAATAAAAACACTCTCATGTGGGACATGTATAGCAAGAGCAGAACCTGTGGACAAAATACCTAGGAAAGTTTGTTACAATCAGTTAGGTAACCATACTACTTCGCTGATATTAACATCAGCGTGGATCCCATGAACTGTTCTTCACCCATTTCTTCAATCTTCAGCTACCACGGGCTTCAAGTTATAAGGGACCTGAGGGAGGGTCACGGCCATTCCACTCACTATACCCTTGCAAAGGAGTATGAGGAGGGACGGAGCACACGTGCAGCCCCCATGGACAGTGTTCATTAAAAAAAAAAGTCATGTACAGTGGGATCTGCACTGACAACCTCTTAAAACCCCAACAAAAAGCAAACCCCCAGTTATTGTAGGATAAGTTAAGTTACTTGTAGTTCAGAAACTTTTCTACCCAAGCTAAATTCTTCCAACAGATCCTGGGAAATGGCTGTCCCATCATTTTGTTCCAGTCTTTAGCAATACATTTGAAGAGGCAGTGGTATAGATAGGCATTCCTAGAGCTCTAAAGATATTTAAGTGTACACACTATAGTTGTATTGTGAAGCCCAAAGGCCCCGGCATTTTGATTGAAGTGTGATATACAGAGTTCCTGTAGGCAAAAGGATAAACATTTGTAGTTGGCATGTCTGGTGGTGTCTGGAACATGATTCATGGAATGAAACCAGACTTCCTGTACAAGGACATCGGGTGACATTGTGGGAAGTGAGCATCTGAGCTTCAGCTGCGGAAGATCTGCAAAGTAAGTTTTGATTACATTGGAGGCATCCTTTGGTAGGAAGATGCAATTGGGTTAGTGCCTAGATAATTCCTTAAACTATATAAAACTTTTGCTTTATATCGTGGGTAGGAGGGACTTGTGCTTCTTCCTATTCTATTGTAATAATTTAAAAATTTGCTTTGCTTCTCGCCCACCATCCCATTTCTTTGAATCATTGCTTACTACCTTTCTTTTTGTTATGAAGAGAGAAGCTATGCAGCAGAATGAGAAATTAGTGTTACATGATTTTCCTTCTGTTAGCAGCTTGTCTCCTTATTCAGCCCACCCTGATAGTCTAATAAGAAATGGATTTTTTTCTCGAGAGACTTAACTTTAATTACCTTAAGGTTACCATCTGATTGCTGTTACTGTGTTGCTAGAGTGTTCCTACAGCTCTGGTAGAAATCTTCTAGTGACTTGAGTTGAAGGGTGCAGCTTAATCCTGGAGTCTAAAGCAACAACTTTGGATCATTTTAGAATTCCACAGGTGAGAGGCATTATCTATTTATTTTAAATAAAGAGAGATGCTGCGAACAGAAAATGAGGGCAGAAATTTCTCATTCTTGAAAGACAAATTACATATTTAACAGAAACGGTAATACTCCATTGTAAGCATTCAGTTGAAGGGTGCTTATTTGGGGTTCCAGGCTGTAAACTAGGAGAAGCACAAGTAAGTGGTGTGACAAAGCTCCTCCTCTATCTTGGTGGGTCTTGTGCTTATT